AACTCTTGATTTTCAGTGCTCAGTCATGGAGAATGGTCACCCCAGCATGGACTAATGCCGGGACCCAAACTTGGTTATGTGACCCATGGGTCTGAGAGCATCCCCAGAGACAAGAGGGAGCTCTGTATGGGAGAAAGGGTGACGATGGTGCCCTTGCTCAGTTCATTCACTTCCATCCTATTGCAACATAGTAAAGGTGTACAGGATGATTATCTGTGTGATTAACTTTATAGACACAGCACCTCTCGATGATACAATCTTCATAATGGTATGAGACGCTTGCACCACAAAGAGAGTCACTGATTACCTCATGGCAAAAGACTCTGAAGAACTGTCAAACTGAAAAATGAATTATGTATATTTTAAAAATATATAATCATACTAAATTTGCTATTGTTTTTTGGTTGATGAGTTGACTGTCCAAAATATGCTACCTGCAGATTTTTTTTAAGTAACAAACACAATTTGCATTTAATCGGCCCATCAAGGCAAAGATGACATCTTAATGATGCTTTTGGAAGCTCGTGCAATGGAGAAAACATTGAGGAAGTGGAAGTTTACTAGATATTTAGGAATATATCCATCATTATGTGATATTGTTGGTAACAATTACAATACAGATGTGTGTCACCTATGAAAACTCTCTTACCTTCATATTTTTTTTTAAGTAGAAGCAGAATGTTTGAGCTTAAGAATTTTCCAGATACAGATGTTGAGTGGTTTTAACTCTGTGTTAAAAATATGAAAAGGCAACATCTTCAATGAGTTTGTCAGTCTAGTTAATGTCAGCTAAGATGGCAATTTACTAGCCAGATTTAAAAATAAAACCTCTGCTAAACCAATGGAAGGAGTTACAAAATGATTTTTGTAATTCATTTAGCACAGCCAACAATACACTATTTCTATTTAGCTCTCAGGATCTTTGTATGGTATATTTTTCAGCTACGACATCCATTCAAACAAAGTACTTAAGTCAGTTGGACTTAGACCCAGATCTTCAAATTGGAGTATCACAAAGATTTAAAAAATCAGTTTAGACATATTCAATAATATTTCTCCTTCTACATATAGTTAATGAGGCTAAAAGAACTTTTATACCATTAATAAATGAAAATAATTAGTTAAAGTATTATCTATTTTATGCTTACCTCATCTTTTAAATTTCTATTATTGTGACCACTTTATAATGAATATTCATAGAGTAATTCAGATATAATTTATAAATAACTAAATATACATGTGTGGAATGGACACGCATACCAAAAAGAGATCACTGATCTCGAAAACTACTTCAAAGTAGAAATCTATAACAATTCATGATGCCTACCTAGCCCAGAGTTGCCACTCAATAACACAGATTCAATGAATGAATGAATGAACCCCTTCATCAATGTTCTCATGTATTGTAGGAGTGCCTTTTTTAAGGCTGAATAATATCCACTCGATGTATATGCCACGTTCTCTTTCTCCATTGAGGATGTTATGCTAAGTGAAATGAACCAGTCACAGAAGGATAAATACTGCACAATTCCACTTATATGAGTTTTTTTTCCTAAAATAATCAAATTCCTAGAAGCAAAGAATAGAATGGTGGTTGCCAAGGGCTAGGCAGATGGGGCAAAGGAAGTCGCTAATCAGTGGGTGTAACATTTCAGTTATGCAAGATGACTAAGTTCTAGAGATCTGATGTATAACATTGTGCCTACAGATAACAATACTGTATGGTACACTTAGAAGTATTTTGAGTGTTCTTGATAAAATTAATTTACTTAAAAATTTTAAAGCCCTTCCACAGAAGCCATAGTTGTACATGGAAGAACTAACAAATAGATTAAGAACAGCAGCTTCTGGAAGTTTCTACACAAGCATTCAAGAGAAAAAAAGCATCTGAGAAGCATCATGTCTCTATGAGTCTAAGAAAGGAGGCTTCACCGTAATCAACTGCATCATCCATATCCGTATTCCTTTACCAGAATGTCATTAATTCAATTCAGTGAGGAACTATTGAGTGCCTCCTATCTGACTCACAAAGGAAGTTACTACAAAATAAGTTATCTATGATTTCTGATTTCGAGAAATTCGTGTTAAAAAAAAAAAAGAAAGGAAGGAAATTCGTGTTTAGCTTTAGAATAAGTCTCCAACTTCCACTTAGAGGAAGAATCACAGAATTTGAGCCTCTGGGCGATGTTATTATTTGGTAGATGCCCAGCTTCTTTGTCTTACCACATACTCATCTTCTCCTTGTTGCCTTTTTCAGGCTAGAAATGGGCAGCTTCATGGATCACAGTCTGGCAGAGCACCCACCAAGACCAAGCTAACCACATCTTCCACATCGCAGATCAAGTGGCTCACAGTTCTATCATGAAAGCTGGTAAGAAATGCAAAATGCATTTTTAAAAAATCTTCCCCCTTGGTAAAACTCAAGTACCTTTTCTTTCACATCTTTCTTCTGGATTATGATCTACATATAGAATAAGAAAAAAGTTAACCATAGTGATAATCTAAAGTGAGCTAAATAGCTGGATGTACTACTGTCCCCCTAAATCTGGAAACAAGATACATGGCAGAATAAATTAGACTATTGGGGCACCTGGGTGGCTCAGTTAGTTAAGCGCCTGCCTTCAGCTCAGGTCATGATCCCAGGGTCCTGCGATTGAGACCCGCATCAGCCTCCTCACTCAGCGGGAGTCTGCCTCTCCCTCTGCCCCTACCCCCAGCTTGTACGTGCGCTCTCTCTCTCAAATAAATAAAATCTTTTTTATTTTAAAAAATGAACTATTAAAAAAAAAAGTTACCCCAGTAGAGATGAACAGTGAAGGCAGTGAACTCAGAAGTTGTTAGTAACTCAGAAAATCACAGGAAAAGGAGATCTTTCCAAACTGTTACTCACTCCAAGGACTCACGTCGGAGGAGACCTGCGGCGGGCTTCTTGAATTTCCGTTTCATTGTGATGACTGGCCCTGAGAGACAGCTTCCTTTGGGCATAGTGCTCTGCACCGTGTCCCAGGCCCATAGGTTCTGACAGATGGAAACACCAGTGGTTGAACTTACCTCTGGACACCCAACATCATGAGACTTTACCCGTGTAACATGAATAACAGCAAGGGCAATAGGGTTAAAAGTTTTCCTTCATTGCCTCAGATCCCTGCTCTCCTGGAGACCCAGCCTCCTGGCCTCCCATGTTCTGCCCTGGAAACTGGACAGCCGGCATGGGGGGCCCGTTCCATCTTCCCTTGCAGTAGATCAAGTTGCAAAGTCAACAAGACTGTTGTAAGCTCCTGCCTGCACTCACCCTGCCTGACATGGGACTGCAAGCTAAAGGGGATTAATTTGATAAGAAATAAAACACTCCAGCAAAGAAAAGTCTGAGTAAATCTTTATTAAAATGTTTCCGTCTTAGCAGGAAAACCCAGGAAGAAATCTAGAGAGACTATTACAACCAAGACCTTTTACCTCAAGATAAGGAGAAAAAAAAAAGACTGTATAAATCTTAGCAAATACTTATTAGCAAGTACTTTATTTCTATGCTAGTTTTTGCCAATTTAAACCCCCTTATGGAGATTGCTTCTGCATGGTCTCAAACCCTCAAATAATAAGCTGAAAAATCTTGCATAGTGTTTTCTCTAGGAAACCAAACGGGCCTGAGACCTCCTCTCCTTTGCCTACTCACCGTCACTACCAACAAAGATGTAAATTTGGTATTGAAAATTTTAACCTTTTAAATCTAAATATTAAGTCTGAATAAAAATAATTCAAGGTATTTGTATTGGGATTTTAGGCAGATGCTGAGAAATGTGGGTTAAAATAATCCCGCAGCAGAAAAAAATCCAATAAAAGGCAACTTCCTAGAGTTTTTACTTAAGATGGGAAAGAAAATGTGTCAATGAAGCTGTGATTTCTGAGAAAAGTTCATTCCTTGGACATGGATTCCGCCAACTAAGTGTCTGCCTGACGCTGACTACGGTATTAGCGGCCAGGCGAGCCCGTTCTCAAAGCACACGGCCGCGTCAGCAGCTCTGCAGCCCCAGCAACAGCTGTGCCCAAGCACCTGCAAATCTGAAGTTTCCCCAGCAAAACAATAAAAATTGAAATGAAACCTAGCGGTTCTTCTAGCTGAGGCTCTAGAAGCCCCCAGGAAGGACAGTGTTTAGGAAGGAGGCCTTGGCTCTACATAACGGTGGCTTACAGAGGTTTTTAAGACACGCAAGAAACACGTGAGGCAGCACTCAGCGAGGACACCGTCACCCCTGGGCTTCGGTGGGTCTTGGCCCCTCATCCAGCAAGCGCCGCCGAGGGTCTGCCCACGGGAGGAGGCAGTCAGGCAGATTAATCCTCCTGATTACAAGAGCCCAGCTTTCCTTGCAAGTATCCTCAAGGAGAGTGCAAAACCACCCATTAAACCAATATTTTTCTTAAGTTTATTCTCCTTCTTAATAACCCAGTAATCTGGAGCTAAATGGGTCCTCAGCCCCTCCTTCTCTCAACCCAACCTTCTTCCATCCCAAACCTACCCACCCCCTCATATACCCACACTTCGTTCCCCTCCTTCCTCTGTCCCTTGACCCAGCCCCTACCCACTCTGATGTTCTTTTCTGCCGGGACCACCCCCCACCCCCCACCACCTCACTGAGCCCCAGGCCTTGAGACTCTGCTGCCTGAGACTAAATCTGGCCAGCACTGAGGACAGCAAACAAAGGAGCAACTGTGGGAACTGACAGCTCAAGGACTCTGGCATTGGGTCTGCCCTTGGAGGTGTGGCAGGACATGGCATCCATCTCTAAATGACAGAGGGCGGGGCAGGGCATCACAGGCCTGAAGACGGCTCAGCCACACTGCTACTCCGGTGAATGGTCGAGGCAGAAATCAAAGCCCCGGGGTCCTAGGCTTGCAATGCTGGCTTCAATATCATCACTAAGATCCCTACAATTCCTTTTCCAAAAGGAAGAGAAATGGAAAAAGAAATGAGAAAGGATAGAAAGGAGGGAAGGAGGGAGGCAGGAAGGGAAAAGGAAGGAAGTAGGGGAGGGAGGGTAGGAGGGAGGAGGGAAAGTCTATCACTCTAGTTTGGGGTGCAAAGTGTAGTTGTAACATGGCTACTCCAAACAGATGTGAATCCTGTTCCCTGTTTTAAATCCTGTTTTAAATCCCAGTTTCAGGGAACAGGATTCTCAGGCGGGAGCACACCCTAAAAGCCTTCCACGGACAGCGTGTGGTTGAGTGCGTAGGCGTCACCATCCTCTTCCTCCAAAAGTAGCTTGTCGATGGTCAGGGAATTCATGGCTCTCCTGGGGTCTTCCATGTCCTGGAGGACTGGCTCGGGGATGGAGATGGGCAGCTGGACAAACTGGGGCCCGGGCAGGGCTGGGGCTGGAGGCTGGTACTGCAGGGTGGAGGTGGGCAGTGTGGACAGGGGCTGAGGCCATGGGAAGTAGGTGAGGGGCGCCTGGTGCTCCGGGGCCTCCAGCTGGGGCCCCACTGTGGGCGCAGCCGCACTTCTCGTCTGTGATGGGAAAGACACAGGACCAAGGGTTAGCAGCCCTGGGGGACCCACCTGTCCTTGCCCGTCCTTGTCCTTGTGGGGATCTCTCCATCCCCCTTTCCTGCTGTCTCCCTCAGGGGCTCTGTCTCCACCTGCTCAGAGTCTCCCCCAAGGGAGAAGCCACACGGACTTCAGCTGGGTCCCTGACTTTATCCCTCACTAGCTACATGTCCTTGCTCACACTACCTCCCCAAGCATCCGTTTTCTCTTCTGTAAAGAGAGTCACAAATAGGACTGATGTCATAGGGCCGAGCCTATTAGAGATGCTTTTCCAGATTTTATTGAATATACATTCCATCCCAATTTCAGGTATATTAAAATGTGGGTGGGGGGAAATGTACATCTTAAAAATCAGTGAAAATACAGCATGCTAAACAAGCCTGTCCCGTGGCGTAGTAGCTGTATTCCTGAGCTGGCCACTGTCATGCCTAGACACAAAGACTGTCCTGGCTCCATACAGCAGCTCTAACATCCTGGGGTCTACCTGGGCCAACATAGCTCCACTCACCTCCCTCCTGCTCTGGGCCAGACCTGGGCACTGGGAAGCACCGCTCTATTAGTAAACAAGGCTTTCCTTAGGGCCTCCAGCACCTTCCATGTCCTCATCCTCTGCCTCTGAGCTGCGCCCCCCATGGCTATCCCAGGGCCATTTTCTCAGGTGCCCTGCACACAATGCCTCTCCTCTGTGCAGCAACCACACTACAAAGCTGAGGTCAAGCCTGCACGAGAGGCAGGGCCTGGATCCTCACTATCTTCTACAGCTGAGGAAGCAGGGGCAGGAGGAGGAAGGACTCTGCATGAAATGATATGAGCGAGACCCAAACCTCTCCCTACTGCCCCGACTTCCCCCATCCTGTCCCTGTCCGGTTGCCACTGTTTTGAGAGTAAACCATTAGAATCCTTTCGGGACGAGCTTATTTCACTTTCCTGGGAATCTTGTGACAATGCAGATTTTGGTCCAGGAGGCCTGGGGGAGGGCCTGGGACTCTGCATGTCCACTCAGGTCCTTGGTGATGCCAGTGTGGCTGGTCCAGGGACTGTAGTTTGAGGGGCAAGGCTCTAGGGTGTTTTCCTATAGAATGCTAGAGCTGGAAATGGTCTCCGAGGCCTTCCAGCCTCCCAACAAAGCCTTACTATTTCCAGTACCTCAAAAATGCACATGGAACTCCTCCTTTTTTGAGTCATAAACCCGTGCAGGTCACCTGCAATGGCAGGTTTGTTGGCTCAGAGATGGAATTCCATTAACCCAGTGCTACAAAATGTCTTATCTCCTGCTCATCAGGAGTGCCGACTGGTAGCTCAAACCAGCTTTGATGAGTTCATTTACAAAGCGGCAAAACAAATAAATTATTTCTTAATAAATAGAGTTTGTTTGATACACAGAGCCTTTCAAAGTAGGAGGTGGGGCTAATGAAAGATAATGAAAGCAATCCTTGGGATTGAAATGACTGGGAACAGTTATATCTGCCACCTCCCACCCGCACCCAAGGCCCCCGATATGGAAATGAGTTGCTTGGGAAAGGTGTTGAATTCACTCCTTCCTATCCACAATCATGTAGGCCCCCCAACTGGTTCGCTGGGTAGCCAGGGGAGGGGTATGGGGTAGGAGGCCTTCTGGAGGCCCTTGCCTGGATGGTGATGAAAAGGCAGGTGCATCAGGATGACGCTGAGCCCTTGAGAGAAATGGTTGGGAGGCAGGGACCCAAAGCAAGCTCCAGCATCAATGTGGGCCCTGCAGCTACTCATGAGGCCCCAGCTCCCCTTCCCACAGTCTTCCCTGAACTGAAGCTGGACACGGCTATACCCATAGACCTCTTCTCCTCTGAACACTTGGGGGATTCCCATTCCTTTGCTCAAACAGGTACCACTCACATAAAACTATTTCTCTTGCTTTCTTCATTCCTTTCCTGCCTGGCACTTGGAGGCAGCCACTGGCGAATGTTGCTGGCCAACTTTAATCAGTCATAATAACATTTATGGAGTGTTTTCTGCATGCCAAGGACGATGCTAAGTTCTCCACATGTATCATCCCAATTGATCCTGACATCAGCCCTCTTGTTAGTATTCCCAGTTCACAGATGAGGACACCAGGGCTCAGAGAAATTAAGTCACTCAGGCCAGGGTCTTCTAGCTCCTAAGTGAAGGGACAATGATTTGAACCCAGGCAATCTGATGCTAGAGGCAGCACTGAAAACATTACCCTACAGGTGGGTCTGACTTCATCAACAGTAGTTTTCTGTGGGGCACCTGGGTGGCTCAGTCGGTTGAGCGTCCGACTCTTGGTTTCAGCTCAGGTCATGATCTCAGGGTCGTGAGATCGAGCCCCACATCGGGCTCCGGGCTCAGCGGGGAGTCTGCTGGAGGACTCTCTCTCTCCCTCTCCCCTTCCCCCAGTCACATGCTTGCTCTCTCTCTCTCTCTCTAAAAATAAATAAGTACATCTTTAAAAAAAGAAAGGTAGTTTTCTGGAAAGTTGTGTCACCTGTTGCTTAGCCTTAAGATCATCTGGAAAATCCCATTAAGTGAACAATCACCCCCCAAGGTATCTGAATAGAAAGAAAACACTGACTCTGGTACAAGACCCCACACAGACCTCACCTGACACCCCATTCACTGAAAACTTAAACTTGCAACCAAGACTTGCCTCTTTGGGGGCAGCAGGGGAGATTTAGGGCAGAGAGGGTGGAGAACATCCCAACCCTGAGGAGCCTGAGGTATGACGAGGGAGGCCCTAAGCCTTCTTTGTGGAAGCTATTTTAGGTCACTGGGAATAGGAGCAGGCCTCCCTGCAGGACAGGGTGGGCTTGACGACTCCATTATCCTGCAAGTCAGTAGCAGGAATGACCAGGGGTCAGGAAGTCAGCCCGCATTCCAAAGGGTGCCCTTGGCGTGGGTTGGTGCAGCCATGCGTTTGCTTGACATACCGCGACGTTAGTGATGAGCGGCTGGGAGGCATAGGTCAGCACGGAGGAGGGCCCCACCACCGTGTAGCTCGGGCACATGGGCTGCACGTACATGTCCGCTGAGTAGGGGCAGCTGACGGCTTCGTGGGACACGTACTCCGTGTAGGGTGTCCACGGGGCCAGGGGTTGGAGGGTGGCCGGGGCAGGCTGGGAGAGCCAGCCGGCACACAGGGCCCCCTCCTCTGTCACCGTGGAAGCAGAGACCTCCATGTCAAGGCAGGAAGGACCTGTGGGAAGAAGGAAATTGCTGCAGGTGTCACCCCGACGGGGGACCCGAGGGGTGTCCCCAGGACTGTGGGAGCTCTTACCCACTGCGGTGTAGGTCGCCAGGGGCTGATGGGGCAGCACCACCTAGAGGGAGAAGGGAAGACCAGGATCAGCGTTCAGCTATCTCCAACGGGCCCTCTGCAGAGAACCTGCCCCGAGGGCCCCAGGGCAGGAGAGTAGAGGGGAGGGTCTTCCTTATGAGAGCAAAACACCCACGCCATGTCCCAACCCTCACCACCCATCCTATGGGGGGATTCGCATTTCCGTCTCGCAAGAACCTTGTGCACTTAGGGAACCGGCCTGGTCCTCTTCCGGTGGGGAGCCCCCAGCTCACGCCGGGACGGTGGGGGTCATCTGCTCCCTCGGGCTGAGCCAGCCGGCCCATCCCCCTCATCCTACCTCGGGCGTCCCTGACTCGTTGCCCCCGGGGTCCGTTCTTCAGCAGCCACGCCATGGCGATGTGCCGGCTTCATGGCCTCGGAGAGCATCCCACAGAGCAAGGAAGCACCCCCACCCGGCCCCGTGGGACACCCCGCCGCACGCGCACGCATACACGCACACCGGCCGCGGTGGCCCCCTCACCGCCGTAGGTGTGACAGCCGCCCCGCTGCTGGCGTGGCCACGTTTCCTCCGGAGCAGTTCCTTCACTGGCTCCTTCACGCGGACACCCTGGTACGGCCGGGGTGGGGCCGGGGCTTGTTCCGGAGCCGTGGCTGTGAAAAGCAATGTCACTGGTGCTCATCTCCCTCCCGGCCAAGCCCCCACCCCAGGGTGCCTGCTCACCTCGGCTGTGCCTGAACACGGAGGACCCACGAGACTTCCTGGACAGTTTCCCCCAGTATCGCCCCTCCTCCTGCCCCAAACCTTCTACGGCTCCCTTCCATCCCATCGATTAAGGCCTGCAAACTTCATGTACAATGGAAAGTCCTGGGCTGTGTTAGCTCAACCCATTTTCCAACCACTTTGCACACTAAGTGCTTCCTACACCCCAACTCTGGCCAGACATTAAACCCCGACTTCTCTTCGTGTTCCTTGCATGTCTCATGTCCTCCTCTTTACTTGAGATTTCCCATGGTCAGGATCCCTGCTTACAGTTCTCAGCCTCTTGACTTGTCCTGGCTCAAGACTTAGCGCAACCCTCCTGGCCGCCCCCGGCTGCCCACAGAAGCCGCTTCCTCCTCCTGCCTCGGAGGCAGACGGCTGTAGTGCTCAGCATAGGGGGCGGTAGAGGCCGGCATAAGAGCACTCTGAGTCCGGATGGCACAGGCCTCGACATCTGCCCCTGCCACGTTCTAGCTGTGTGATCCTGCGCAAGTTACTGACCCTCTCTGTGCAATTTCTTATCAAAAGAATGTCATAAGGAGTTGCTGGCCTAGTAAATGAGAAGCACAGTAGGTGCTTAGTATAAAATCAGGTACAGAGTAAACATTTAATAAAATTGCAATCTGCTATATAATAATTAGTAATCCTTTGGTAGGATTGTAAATTTCTTATGCCCCTAACTAGATCATGAACTTGTCAAGGTGAGATATTATACCTTCTTTCTCTACACTTTCCCAGGTAGCATGTCCATAGCAAGCTCAGTAAGGTCTTTGTTGATTAATTGGTTGGATGATAATTTGAAACGTGCTGCCCTTTAGAATGTGCCCGGACCTTTAGAATGGGCTGCAGTGAATGATTCCCAGGTTCTCTGTGGCCCCCAGGAGAGAAGGTTCCCTGTGCCTTTTGTCATCAAAGCTGGGAAACCAAAGCACTGAGCTGGAACAGGGCACTTCCTGACCAGGGAGAGCAAGCCAGCAGCAGTCATGGTTGGGCAGTGACAGTCTGCCCACCCAGACGGCCCACAGCCTAGGGCCCTGGGTCTTTGGAGGGCAGGCCTGGGTCAGCCAAGAAGAGTGAGTACCACTGGCCCTGGAGACTCACACAGTGAGTCCATTATCATCCACCAAAAAGGGCCCCAGGGACCTGGGCTCTGAATCAAAAGCCTGAAAGCCTGGATATCTATTAAACCCGGAACCATAGTGCTGCCCTGGCTGAACTTTGCTCAGTAAATACCCAGCTGATAAGAACCCATGCCTGACCCAGCACCAGACCTCCAGCCATGCCCCAGGCACACGCACAGCCTGGCCTGGAAGCCTAGCAGGCAGACAGAGGCAGTAGGAAGAGGGAAAGGGGGCATACAGAACCCTAGGGACACATGATGCAGAGAACCCCAGACTCAGATGCATCCAAGGGGGTTTCCTAACCTGGCCATGTAGCAGAACTGACCAGGAAGAGATGCACAATGCAGATACCCAGGCTTTCAGAGTTCTGATTCTGGGGGGGTTGATGTGGGCCTAGGAATCTATATTTTAAAAGTCCTTCAGATTCTGAAGCTCTGCTGGGGTTAGAACCACTGATAATTCATCCCTGATCTAATATAAGAATCTCCCTCTAACGTCCTAATAGGTTTATTATCTTCTTTTTAATTTCCCCTGTCATAACAAGGGATCTCTATTGATATTCATTCATTCTTCCAAATATCCCGGGGCACTAAGAACACATTACTGAACAACATAGCTGTGGGCCCTGCCCCCATGCATCTTGCATCTAGCGGGAGAGACAGCAACGCAACAGTTAAAACATGTGAAATTGAGGCCAAAACCCGAGTGTGGAGCAGAGAGAGATCCAGCCCGGTGCCAGTGGCCCAGGACTGCCTGTGAGCAGGTATTCCTATAAGCAGCATTAACAATGGACTTGAGAGCCAAAAATACCCGTATTCAAATCGGGGCTGTCGCTTACTGGTAGAAAGATCTCAGATGATTTTTTAACGCCTTGGGTCTCACTGATTCTTGTCTCCCACAGTGGTTGTGAGGATTCACTGCAGTAACACCCGGGATGCTCCCAAAGCCACGTCCACCTACGTGGTCTTTGCCTTCCCGTCCCCCACCCACTTCCGCCTTCCTCTGGGGAGCTACGATGCCAGGAGGCTCTTCCTCCAACTTGACCGGCCACATGGTAACAAGCACCATTTTCCCTTGCATTTGACTTCTGATGAAACTCGCCATTCATAATCCATCTACGGCCTTCTCATCTATACAGTGAGGATCCTAAAGGTACGTGCCAGGTAGGGTACATGCTTAACGCAGAGATTGCACTGAGCAAGCATTAAATAAATGCGAGCTAATATTATTATTCTTGTTAGTAGCCGTATCCCTTTCCAGCCTCTGAAGACAGATACCAGGTCCCCTGTAGAGTCTGAACAAACATCCCATCCTTCCAGCTATTTCTTAATCCCTCCTTGTAACCCTCCTTCTGGGTGCCTCACCCCTGCACAGATTCCATGTGCCACTTCCCCTCATGATCACCGATGCCCAGCATTGGCTCCAGAGCCCAGGTAGGGCCTGCTGGGGCAGAGAACAGGCCACCTGCCCTCCCACATTCTGCTCACTCATTCTTAGTCACCCACAGCCACATCGGCTTTATTCACACCCATATCACTCAAGCTATGCGTGTCTGCAAACGGGTTTCCAGCTATTCTGAGGCACAGAGTATAGCGTGAGGCATTATGCCCTGGGGAGAAACTCAGGGGACAGGGTTATTTGGGGGTCTGAGCACTGTGGTCACACTCCTCATTCAGTCGGGGGACAAGCAAGACTCATTCCCACAGGTAGGCATCTCAAGCCGCTCAGATAGGTACGGGACTAACCCCCTCTGTTTGCATGTGCACTTCTGGGGAAGGGCCCACAGGACTCCCGAGCCCACTCCCTCCCAGGAAGTGGACACATCGAACACTTGGCTGCAAAGGGGCCAGCTGGGCATTTCCAGGATCTTGTCAAGTGGTGGCTTCCTGCCTCCTGTTGTTTTTGAATCAATGAACAAAGCGGGCTTGGGGGAGGTGCTGTGAGCAGAGGGTATCAGCCTCTGAAGTCTGGACTTCCTTCGAACCCACAGTGTCAACAGGTGTGCCCAGCACAACGACCATAAGGAGAGCAGTTTCTAAGTCCCCACCTCTTCCTCTTGCAGTCACAAAACTCCCCCAGCTCTCAAGGATCTCCTGCCTACCCAGCTATGAGTCCAAACCAGCTGCCAGGGAATCCTGCAACTGACTACAAGCGTGCAGGCATGAGCGGGGGTGCTTCCCACAGTGTCTTTGCAAAATGGCCATGACCCATCGGAATCAGAAGCCTCGGGACAATTCCCAAAGGAGCCCAATGGCCAAGTGTGTGCGCGAAGCCAAAACTTGCAGTCGGTGCCTTTCACCCCAACCTTTGGGAAGCAACAATAAACGTTTCTAATTCTACAGTAAACACTGCTCCCTAGTGCCACCAGCATGAGGAACGAGCCCACAGATACAAATTTGGAATAAGAAAAGAGCTTGGTCTGATATCATGATTGCTTTGCCTTGGGGCTTCTGGATCCCCGAACTGAGTTAGCTTTAAGACAACTACACTAGAATATTTAGAAGGAAAATTTTAAGAGTCTTAAAATAATTTCTTTTTTTTTTT